CTTTTTTTGTGGGAAGTGAGGATGGGACCCCTTTCCAAAAGGTCTTTTCCCCCTTTCCAGGGCTGGGGGGAAATGGGTTTTCCTTGGGGGAAAAAAGGGGGTCCAAATGTGCTTCAACGTCCTTTTGGGGGGGGTGGGGGGGGGGGGGTGATGTTATTAGCCATCATGTGCATATCCATACGCAGTTCACACATTTTGGAGGGCCCCAAACCTACCGTAACTAGGGCAGAGTGCGTAACACATATGTACGGGGGCCGGACTACAGTAGAATCCCCAAGCCATCCCTACTGAAAGGGATTCAACAACTTTTCGAGTGTCGTCAAGTGCAGACCTTGCCTGCTGACCGAATGTCCCAAACCATCGCGAACAACATCAATCAGGAGACCAAGATCCAGGAAAAGGACGTCGAAGCATTGAGGGCACAAGATATTCTCCCCGGCTACGCTTCGGAGTGGAGCTGCTCCCGGACGAAGTTGGGCTACTCGGGCACCGCGGTTTTCTTCACCAAGCAGTCCGACCCATGGAAGGGGGACGGGGGTGGAATAGACGCAACGGGCAACGGGTTACCATCCGATGAGCCGGTGAATCTTAATCCTCTGCCCAACCTCTCGCACAAACTGCCTCACGCGTCCCTTGCCGGGGTGGCGCGCTGCCGTTCCTGCCAATACCTATCTACTTCACTTTCACAACCGCACACGAGCCCCTTGTTAGCGGTACCCTGCGTTGTTCTTTCTGCCCGTATCCGTTAACCCTCTTTGATCTTCTGTAGTGGCTTTGGTGTGTGTCAAGCCAACGGAATCTGATAATCGTTGCCGCTGACCTTCGCTCTAGTGGCCGGCCTGCTACACGTCTTGCTGTGCCGGGCATTGAACGGATTCGCTCATTTTGTTTGTTCACCTCGGCGCAGGCGAGGAAGAAGCTCAAGCAAGGAAAAATTTCCACGTTCTTCTCCCCGAAGCCTAGCAAGAAGTCGGCGAAGGGGTCAGCGCCGGAAAGTGAGACACCGACACGCGCCCCTGCGGCAGAACCGGCAACATCCGCGGCAGCATCGACGAATTCCGCGGATTCTTTGCCCGGGGGCCGCAGCGGATTCAAGGTGCTGTCGGTTCGGTTCGGCATCGGGGGTGACTCGAAGCACAACAACGAGGGCCGGTCGATCACCGTCGAGTACGAGAAGGTGCAAGAGAGAGGAAACGAGAAGAGAGTTTGGCGGTGAAGGAAGGGATAAGGGGCGGAAGGCTTTGGAACACGCCTTGGACCGCCGGCTTCAGCGCAGCGGTAGATTCTCGCCAGAGAGTGGACCGGCAGGCCTGAAGGGGGTGTGTGTGTTCATGTTGCTTGTGTGTCTTTGCTTGGATTAGTCGGCTGCTGCGTTGGTGTGCAATGATGAAGGATGCGCGGTTTGTGGGAGGACGGGTGGGAACGGTGCACCGCTGGTTTCAACGCCAGTATTTCTGTTGAGTTGCTGATCGGCCGGCGATCGGTTACGGCATGGGTGATTTTTGAGCTGAGAATAAGTTGTTACCGATCACATAACGCAATGTGTGTGGCACCCTCTTACGGCCTGACTCCAACCACGGCCAGCACCTGCACTCTTCCTCACTCCCCACCTCCCGTTCGTTCCTTGCATGCCGATTGAACGACATGCGACGCCACACGCGGCGCGCACGAACAGTTCTTCGTGGTGACTGTGTACGTGCCCAACTCGGGAGAAAAGCTGGTGCGCCTTGATTACCGCACCAAGGAGTGGGACGTGGCTCTGAAGGCCTACGTGGAATCTCTGGAGGCGCAAGGGAAGCCGGTAGTGCTCAACGGTGACCTCAACGTCGCCCATTTGTGAGTATGCTCCCTTCATGCGGCCTCTGTTGCTTTTGCTGTGGTGGCGTAGGTCTTGTGTCGGTGTTTATGGTGTTGACATAGGTTCCTCGTCTGCTGTCGTTTTGGCGGCTGTTGATGGAATTGGCGACAAACAACCACGTGTGGGAGTAAACCTTCAGCGAGCGGGTGCTTCCGCCCGCACAACAAAGCGCACGGATCAATGACCCCTCTACTGTTTTGCGAGGTATCCTCTCGGTCGGCTATTCCTACAATGCACCTTAGTATCTCCTTCAACATAGCGATGCTCGTCCCCCTCCCCGCCATTGGCGCGCAGAGACCTCGACATCTACAACAGAGGCGCGAAGCACTTGCCGAAAAACGCCGCCACGACCAAGGAGGAGCGGGATTCGTTCGACTCGTGGGTGAACGGGGGAAAGGTTTCGGACGCGTTCCGACGGTTACACCCGGACGCCGAAGGGGCGTACACCTACTGGAGCGTTCGAACCGGCGCGGTGAGTCGCGCGCGCACTACTTTGCGGCCGCGGTTGCCGTTGCTGGTGATGGTGATGGTGGTTCGTGTGCATGTTGTTCAATTTTGTTGTTGCCGTCTGAAGGGCCACTTCGTGGTTCTTTGTATAGTTCGTTCCAGGAGTAGTTGTTGATGCTTCAAGAATCTCTCGCATTACTGCTGTTCACACATGGTGCGTACATTTACCTTGATGGCGACGGGCGCGTCTTGTTTGTTGCGAGGGATGTGCCTTTCAACGCCCCCGACACGAAGAAGTCACAAATCGCAGTCTCGTCCGCCCGCCTTGACTTGGTCAAGCCGGTACGACTCTCTCGTATACCCCGCGAAACGGTCCCTACCCACCCACAGTCCGTGCCTTGATTGTGTTGCACACTAAATAATTGGCCTTTTCGTTCTCGTCTCCTCTTTTTTTCAGCGACCCGTCAATAGGGGGCTCCGACTGGACTACTTCGTGTGCTCTAATGCCGTTTTCGAGGATGGGGCGGCCGGGGGGGGGCAGGCGAAAGCGACGGCAAGGCGGGCGAAAGGCAGCGCGCCCAAGGGGAAGGGGGCGACGGGCGCGAAGGGGATGGTGGTGCACGACTGCTTCATGCTGGACGAGGCGACCGTGGGCGTAAGCGACCACTGCCCCATCGGAATCACGCTTCGCTCGACGTGAAGACACCATAAATGACGCAGTGTCTACTGTGCGTGTATGAGTCGCGCTCCGTCCAAAATTCGTGCAACATCTGGTAGAGTGGAGGCGAGCACAACGGATCGGACCGTCCAGCAACGCGATTTGGTAGCGCTGCCGGTCGTTCAGAGGAGAAGAGGAGCAGAGATGCTGCACCTGTTCGTCGTTGGGTATCGAAACGCTACAGTAGGGAGTCCGTGGTTGGCTGTCTAACCTCTGTGTGTTGAAATAAGCTACGCCGCCGGGTGCAGTTGATGTCCTCATTGAACGACGCCTCAGCAGTTGGATGAAAGGCTGCCTGTACGCAGAGTTACTGCTACAATCTATGCCGGCGTGGATAGACGAGGGAGGAGATATACGAACACTCCGCCAAGGCTGCGTTTGTGGAGGACCCATGGACTAAAACGCATTCCAGCGGTTTGGTACCGCGAATATCGACATTATTTGCTGGTCGAGTCCCTAGCGCAGGCGATGCTTTCTACCGACACAACGCAGTCATAGAGCCGACGATGGAACAGGACGGGGAGAACTAAACACGAGGATACTGATAACGATGTAGATTGAGGCCCACTAAAATCACCATCGTTGATCCGTTGATCCGCCTACCTGTAGTCCATGGGACTGCTTGAACTTGTGTTGATTTTTCATCGAAGTCGCCTTTAGGCTGAGATATCGAATTCCTGACTTTTGGAGTCTCATGAAATTTCACGCGAATCGTTGCACGAGTCCAGAGGCTACGAAACGCTCTCGACATGTATATACGCAGCAGCACCAGCCTCGCGAGCAAGTCGAATTGGAAAAAAATGACTCTTCGTTTCGGAGATAGACGTGTGTACTCGCTTGGAATTCTCGGTTACGCGTCGTGTCACGGGTTGCTATCGGTCTCTCTCATGAGTCCGCGCTTTCGCGTTGCGCGCGGCCTTTTCGCTACGGGCGAAAAGACCTTGGTTTGCGTGTCATGGATAAACGTACACGCACCGCGAACAGTTGAAGTCGGGTCGAAAAAAAAAAAAACTGGAGTGCACCACGGGGGCACCGATCTGTTGCGTACGGGCCGACTTCATTGCGGCGGGCCGACTTCATTGCAGCGGGCCGTCGGGCAACAGTCCGATCCCTACAATCGACCATTGGATATTTGCACCATTCTCAACGACTCCAATCGTATCTGCTCTTCTTGTGTTGCAACTTTGTCACCGCACGTAAAAAACTCGACAGAATCGACATTAAGCCTTTCGGGTTTCAGTTTCTGTTGCGAAAAAACAAGTGGTCACAAAATATTTTGAAGACACTTTCTTTGGGACAACGTATTTATTGGTACCACAACTCGCAGCGGGCGAACAGACGAGGCGAGGCCAGGGCTGACCCCAGGCAAAAATAGACTGCGGTATTACACGGCTCAAACAACCACAAAGGCGCACAGTCCTACTTAAAATACATATATCGCAAATCCTTCTATAATACCACGAGCTTGCTAGTGTCGAGGTGGTGGTGCTCGAAGAGGGTCTTGTGTCACACCCTACCCCGCACCCCCAACCTGCAAGAACGAAGGGAAAATACATGAGCAAAAGGGAACGAACTCGGAAGGACAGAAGGATTGCAGAACACCGAGTGGACCCCGTCCCCCCCGAGTTCAGCATACAGAACGACTTGCCCTGCGCTATTTAACATCCACAAAACAAGTACAGCATATGCACAGAATACCGCGAAAGAGCACCAAATCTTTGAGCCACGAATTGGCAAAGGCAACACAAGTCAGTGCTGGGGGAAAAACACCACAATAGCTACAGGTTTCATCACGATAGAACGCAACAGGTTGAAGGACATCGCTCCATCACGTTGTCGTCGTCGTCCACCCTTCGTATTTAGTCCACGGTGCGCTCCGCCATGCCGTAAAGTACCTCGTATCCCGGGTCTATGCCTGCCCCATGAAGCCCTTCCCCGCAAGACATGATGAAAGTTGTACCAGATGTTCAAGAGGAGAGAAATTTTGCTAAGGCTGGGATGGGCTCTTCGCGCTCTCGCAAGAGCTATGCAGCCAACTTCTCTCCGTCGTCCCATCCTGACACACACCGGTCACATGAACCCCACCTTCTCTGAGACTTGCACTTGCTGTGCCTCAGTTTGGCTCAGGGTGCTATCGTATCCCGAAACAGCGAAACAGCGATCAAGGTGATCGAGGTGCTCGGCATTCAACATTTATCCATCCACTTCACGAACAGCTCCAACTACTGCTGTGCCGAGCAATCTTACTCTTTATTCATCAATACATCCCTCTCCCCCTACCAGTATGTTGAAACTCCGTGCGCTCCAGCCTTTGTGCACGCCACACCACCAAGCACCACGGCTATCACTTTTGACCCTCGTATACACGCCCGCCTCTCGCCTGCGTGTCTTTCTCCTCACCGTGACCCGTCCCTCAACTCCTCCCTAGGGTGATCGGAGTTGCCTCGGAGGGTCGGGATCGGCGAAGTTCCTCGGTTTGGAGGCGTCCGGACCCGTGGGGATGATCTCCCCCGTCTTTTTCAGTTCCCCGCGGAAGTATTTTATTGTCTCGACGAGACCCTGCCGACGGTGGGTGCCAATCGGGTAGGTGAATTTAGATGGCCAACCATGGAGACGGGGGGGGGTAGCGGGGCCAAAAGCGACAAGTGCCCCATTTTGTAGTCTGGTCTGTGTGGGGACAACCGCCAGATATTTACCCAAGTTGTGTGTATTTCATACCTGGTAAGTATACAAGCGTACATGTAGTTGGGCGTCAATGCCTCGTCACGAGATTGCCCCCGCCTCACACCCCCGTCACACGCTGCGGCCACGCGTGATGGCGGGTACCCCCAACACGGTTTCGAGGTTGTCATGAGCCGGTGGGTACTGACCCCGACCGAAGCACACTCAAGACACAACGAGGCACGTAGCTTTGGTGATGGCAGTGGCCTGTCGGCGAATACAAAATCAGGGCCGACACGGCGACAGTTTCGAAAACGGACTTACGTCTTTCACGGCCACGGTCGGCTCCCATCCCAGCTCCTTCTTGGCAAGAGTTATGTCGGGCTTTCTCTTGTTGGGGTCATCCTTCGTCCCGTCCATGAAGATGATCTTGCTCGTGCTCTCCGTCGACGACTTGATCAACTGCAGGAGACCCGGATGGGGAGGGCGTTTCAACCGATTCTTGTCGGGGTTCAGAGTTCGGGGTGGTGGTGATAAACTCATGAGAACGGGATGCAAGCTACTACCGAAGACGTCAAAGCTTGTTGCCTCGGTGCAGTTCTAGGAAAGCGGCACGTGGTTTTCAGGCCACCTGATCTGGACGCTTGTACGGGGCGTATATTCAACTACATTGCATGCTCTGTTTGGGGGAAGCCGACGATAGTGCTGCTGTGCTCGTGTGCGTATGTTTGTTTTCGTCTTATCTACTCTGGGTGCCAGTCTACGCCTTTCGGCATATGATGTTTGACGCACCAGCCGAGGTCACAAATCACAAAGGTGAACAATGTTCTTTTCCCGCCGTTTTCTCCCGTGCCGTGCTTGCCTGCAACCCTTTACGCAGCGTTCAGCACTGTACTTCCCTCAGTTCTGTTTACTCGCGACTATGCGTTCTCGCCTGAATTGCGATTGTTGTCACTCCTGAGAGATTTGAACCCGCAACCTAGAGACCCGTGGACACCACGACAGTAATGATAATGCGATCAGAGTAGGGACCTGAGCGGGAACCAGACAAGCTCCGCTTATGGTCAGACAATTTTTTCAGTAAAACGATGCATAACAAAAACACAATACACACTGCCACCACCATCCAACAGCAGAAAATTCCAACCTCAGCGAAATCCTTGACGGTGTATTCATCCGGGTTCCCGATGTTCACCGGCCCAGAGTAATTATTGTTCATGAGCGCGATCAGGCCCCGCACGAGGTCATCGACGTACTGGAACGATCGGGTCTGCGAGCCGTCACCTGCATCGAAATCGACAAACGAACGCGAGGGCGGAACACGAGGAAAACGGGCGTGGGCGTGGGCGTGGCGGGAGGCGGGGGCGTACTCTTTCTGTTTTGCATGCCCTAGCGGTTAGACCATGTCGCGGGGGCGGGGGGGGGGGGCGTACTCTTATGCTTTGCATGCCTTAGCGGTTAGACCATTGACCACGCGTCCTCGAGAGGACGGAGCATTGTTCCCACAGGACCGATCACCGATGGCCAATCGTTCCTTCCTACTTTGCCAAAGGTGGCTCAAAAATGTCTTCCCTAGTTTGTCTATCCTACCGATGTCACTTCCCGCCTTTTCAAACCACTTTCTACTCCCCAGTACCGCTACCGTCCTCTCCTCTCTATTCCATGCCTCAAACATCTCCCTGTACGTCCCTTGTATTCTTCCCAGCTCAGTCATGTACACTTCCCTCTCCTTTTCGTACCACGGACATTCCGCGACTACATGAACACTGTCTTCGCATTCGAAGCCGCAATCGCATTTGAACTTGTCGTCTTCGTCGTCTACCGTCCTATGTCTTCGTCGACGTTCGCGAAGGCCTATGTCCCCGGTCCTGAATTTGACCTTGAGCTTTGTCCCTGCATCCATTGGTCCATGTAGGTAATCCTTGAACCCTATTCCTTCTTTCAACATTCCGTACACTTCTAGACCCTCCTTATCCTTGGATTCTTTCCTTAGATTCTGTTCTTCTCTGTCGGCAAAAGCAACAGATATCTTCTTCTTGAACCCCTGTAGACCCTCCGTTTCCAGCGTTTCATCTTCGTCGATGTCCAATCCCTTCCATACGTCCTCTACAACCTTGACCCATTCCGTGGGTTGTCTACCCCTCTTTTTGTTTGCCCACTTCGCCTCCCATACTATTCTCGGCAACCTCTCCTCTCCCATCCCGCACATGCGATACTGCCATGTCAGCTTCCTTACGTCTCTTCGATACTGCCATGTCAGCTTCCTTACGTCTCTTCCCGACCGTAGGGATTGGATCCCCAATTCTGCCCTGACTGCTGCATTACTTGTGCGCTTGGAGCATCCTAGGATGATTTTCGCTGCTTTCATCTGCGCCGCCTCGAGTTCTTTCACTACCTTCTTATTTCCTTCCCATACTTCTCCGGCGTACTCTAGCGGCGGTACGATTACGCTCTTCAAAACCGTCAGTTTGATGCGTGTATCAAGGTGCCGGTTTGCGAGTATTGGGTGCAGCTTCCCTGCTCGTGCTTTGCCCTTTTCCGCTACCTTGGACATGTGTGCATTCCACGAGCAATCTTTTGCGATCTCTACTCCGAGGTATGTGTACTGGTCCACTACTGCAATCTCCTCGATCCCCCACTTCCATCTATGTTCTACTGGTTCCTCCCTGCCCTCGTTGCATACCATGACGGCACTCTTCGCAACGTTGGCAGACAATCTCCACTTATCAGTAAACTTCTTCACCGCGTCAATTTGCAGTTGCAGTCCCTCAGGGGTGTCCGACATACCAACAAAGTCATCCGCAAACAGCATTCCTGACACCGAAGTTTCCGTGTCCCCTACTTTTACTCCCTTCCGGACTGCCTCTACGACTTCCAACAGATCGTTGATGAACACCTGGAACAATGTTGGGGACAGCGTGCAACCTTGTGGGACCCCTTGCTCAATGTCGAAGAATTTAGACAGTTCTCCGTCTAGCATGACCATGACGCGGGGGCGGGGGGGGGGGGATAAGAGGTCTTCGGTAGACCATAGCGCATGATCGGGGGGATTGCGGTCATGTATTCCAGCTGCTTCACGACTTAAATACATGAACCCGTTGACGATGCCAGAATCGGTCTTTGCAGCAACCACTCCACCCGTTCGTTGGGTTTCATAGCCACCGCAAGACTATATCTCTCACAAACAAAAAAATAAGATACCTGTAGATGCTCATGGAACGGCGGTGCCCCGAACGGGACAACCTGAGATTCATCGCTTTGTAGTCTAAAGACACAACCGGGCGAGCTCTCCCACCCCCCTTCTTCACTGAAGAGCGTCTCTCATGATATCCAAACTCATCCAATTCTGCTTTTCCCTACAAGGTCGCCTCTACCCCTCTCTGCACGCATTACCGACTCGCTTTTCTTGCCTCTCCTCTCTCTCTCTCGCTCTCTCTGCCCTCCTGTATTGCCTTACCGTAAATGGTGATGTCCTTCCCCTGAATTGCCTGGATGATGAAGTTGCTCACCACGCGCCCGTCGTTCGGGTGCATTCGCGGGCCGAAGGTGTTGAAGATGCGAGCGACGCGCACCTCCATTTCTCCCTTAAATCAACAACACGATGACATGACAAACACACAACAAAGGACACAAGCACAACGCCCCCCCGTCAACAACGGCACACGAACAAGATACGATGACAAGAATCAAACAGGAACGTCAACCTTGCCATCCACCTTTGTCTTGTCTGGATTCGGGCGTCAACTTATCGAAGTAACATATAGGCTGGAGGGGGGAGTGTACTCATAGCCGTGCATGCCGTAGTCGTTAGACCATTGACCTTCGCATCCCCACAAAGCCGGGACGGAGCACGCCGGGTTCTCACCGGACCAGGCTCTCACATCACCAAACGCGAGCCTATTCGGCTAGAGTCATCGAGGGTGCACACGAGGGGGGGGGAGGTCCCAAAAATCACGTTGTTTGGTGCTATTATGGGAATTCTCCGCCCTGTGAGAATGGCTACCTGCTCTGCGTGGCGGGCAAGTAGTAGTCACGTTGCCGATCGTCGAACAAACCTGAACCGCCAGCACACCCTCAACCTGCCATGCCATCCCGTAATCCGATTGATCTATGAGTTGAGCGGCTTTGTGACTTAACACCAAATGTTTCGCCCTTAGTGCAACCTTCGGTGCCTGCATCACCACGACGTCACACGCACCTGGTTCTCGTAGGCGTACATCATGGTCTCCGCCACTCGCTTTCCCTCGTCGTAGCAGGCACGCGGCCCGATAGGGTTGACGTTGCCCCAGTACGTCTCGCGCTGTGGGTGCTCCTCCGGATCTCCGTAGACCTTCATACGGCCGCGTGGGGGAGAATGTGTATTATAGGCAACTGGCACGCGGAGACGTGGGTGTATGTGTTGCAAGGTGGTGGGACACGATGTTGCAACACAGGGTATCTAGCATGTTTTCATGTATCGCGAAGGGCGGGGATACACCTCAGGGGGCGGGAGACTTCTCGGACCTACACCCAGTCATGTCCTCGAAACAACCGCCATAATTGCCGCGGTCGCCTCTCACGCGCCTTAGTCACATCTAACCCGCGTTGGAACCCGAGAACGCCTCTACAAAGCGTCGCTTCTATCAATATATTAACTCCCAACCCTAAGTGCAGCAACTGACGGCACCATATGCACTACGGGTTATAACCTCTGAACGGGTTGCATGATCAAGAACGAGTGGCTGGACACGGAACATTCGTTTTGGATGCACCCGTCGTGCAGTCAGAGAAGAACACGGTATACCGTGTACCGTACCGTGTACCGTACCTCTGAGGTGCTGGTGAGAAGCATCCTCGCGCCTGTCCGCTTGGCAAGCCCGAGCATATTAAGCGTGCCTTGGGTGCTGGTTTTGATTGTCTTGATGGGGTTGTACTGGTAGTGAGGTGGTGATGCTGGGCAAGCCAGGTGATAAATCTGGTCTACCTCGAGCTTCGCATTTTCGACAGGAGCATTGGCATTTCGCAACAAACGTTGAAGGGGCGCGTAAGGCAAACAGGATCAACGCACGGCATGCTTAGCTACACTGAGAGTCATTAGGTGACAAATCTGCGATGGAGCCGTCTCAGCCGCACTTGGTACCGACTTGCGACAATGCAGGGCAGCAACAAAAACAGCAAATACTGGGGTTGCAGAGCCCGGGCACGCGCGATTAGTCAAGGAGGTCAGGGTGGATTGGGACCTCTTCCACGCCGCGAACACGCACGAAAAAAGCATAAATGGAGGCACGTCCACAGGCTGGCCAGCTACAGATGGTGTTGGTCCAAGCCGCGCAGGCACAAGATCACGTCTAGCTCGACAGCAATCATAACAGGCAAAATCACGCGATAGACGCAAGTCACCGCTTTAGATGCAAAAGGTCAAACACAACGGCACATTTCTGAATAGAATCCTGCGAGCAATTTAATGTGGAGCACACCAGGCAGCCCAAGCAGGAGAACAAGACACGAACGAATTCATTCGCGTCGGGTGGCTTCCGCATGCCACGGCGGAAACCTCGGAAAACAGGCGTAACAAAAAGAGCGCGGCCCACTCAGCCTATGGAAGCTATATCGCGCAGATGATTCAGGGAAACTAAGATTGCCGCGCAGTGATACAGTCTATGCAGCATGGAAAGCAAGGACGTACTGCGGTGTCGAAAGACTACCAGCAACAAGGCCTAGCACGCAACTCCCTTTTGGCACCCATCCTGTTCTTAGGCTGGTGTGTGGTGCGTGTGGAGAATTGTAAGCGCCACCCGCTGGAGCGAACGCCAATAGAAATACCCACCACACAGAGCATATCGGCGTTGTTGGGGGCTCTATTTCGTATTCATGCAGATAGGGCTGGTGTCAACTGCTAGCTCCATGTGCTAATAAATCAACCCGAAAACACCCGAGTCTAGTCGTCGGGCAAACCGACCGAAAGAAAACAAAAAGAACCAGGCCGCAGACAACTAGGGTCTTATCTACCGTATACAAGGGCTCATCCGTCTATCTCTCACTTTGATTGGCTCCACGACGTCGTGCGTTATGAGATGAAAGCTTGGGTGTCCTATCCAGTGCTGCACATTCTTCTGCCTGAGGTGGTGGGGTCATCAGAATCACGGTTGGTCGTACATGTCGAGGATTAATCGTTTATCGCCTTCGTGACAGTGCACCGCAGCGAATTCTGTTCATGACTTCTCTCGCTATCCATCCCTCCCCCCCCCCCTCTCTCTCTCTCTCTCTCTCTCTTGTTTTTGTCTATTCTCCGTCTTCTCCCTCTCTCTCTCCGTCTCAATTCTTCTCTCCCCTCACCAGCCGTCACAGACATGCATACGTTTGACACACCTTCCCGTGAAGAAATTGTCTAGCACGATGACATCGTGCCCCATCTTCATCAGAGCGTCCACCAGGTGAGAACCCACAAAGCCTGCCCCGCCGGTGACCAGCACGCTGGCGGTTCCCAGACGCGAAAAAAAAAAACAAAGAGTGGTAAGGACACCAAATAGACTTATACAAACCAATACAACGAAGAGGAAAAACACCACCAAGAGGTGTGAGACTGAACAATGTTGGAGAAAGTTGTATTTCAGCCTCAGAGAGGAGTGTAACAAAGAGAGGAAGGGGACCCTGGGTGACCGCGAAGGGTGGCCTTGACGACCTCTGTCTCCTTTGGTACCAGCATCGCAGCACCCACAGCCTCATATCAACAGACAGAAGCTCGTTCTCTACCAGCACTACCCTCTGACCAACAGTCCACTGTCGCGACTCGCGCTTCACACTCCACCACGCCAAGTATACGGCTACGCTTACCGCATGCGGTCCTTCTCGGAAAGGTCGGCCGTAGGCGGGAAGTTGTTGGCCACGGCCGGCCCTCTTTCTTCCGAAGGCAGCGTGTGCGGTTCCGAATTCAGCAGCGACACCTGCTGCTGTACTCGACGCTGCACCTCCACCTCAACCTGTGGTGTGTTTATCAGTCAGGGTGCGATCGAGCGTGCACTTAATTAATAGGGGAAAAGCCCGACACATTCAAGGGTGGGCGGCCTGGGGTGTTTTTAGGCTCGAGAGGAAGCACGCCGCCAGAAAGACGCCGTGTACATGCAACCCCTTTTGTAGGCATCGAGATGGAGGCAGGTACGGTGTGCTAGCAAGCCACCGACCAGCCATACCACACCACTCTTTCCCAACGCACTCACCAGACGAACGCGTGTTGGCTTCATCTTGAGAGTAGCGACGCACGCAGAACTACTGGCTACCCGCGATACGAGACCTACGCGCGAACGTTGACTAAGTACTCATGTAGTTTTTCAGACGGCAACACGCACCACGCACGACGGGTGTGTGTGCCCTGTGGCGAAAAAGCGAGGTCGGAAACAATAAAAAAAGAACAGCATTTACTCTCTCACCATCTCCTGCACCCTGCTCGAAGAAACGTACTCATCGGACCTGTGTTGGCGCAGAAAGCAACCCGCCCACGAAGGTTAACGCAAGGCCGAAACGACACGTAAGGTTGGGGTGCTACGGGGGTGAGAAAACGGCACGAACACATACTATCGTCACCTGCTAGGGTCGTAGATTGTAGGACGGGACAAAAGATTCAACTCGATTGCAGAAGGAAGGTGCACCGTTGCGCTGAAAAGCTGGCGACAAAATGGGAGGGCGGGTCCGCTCGTTGGAGCTTTCCTTTTTGAGTCTTTCATCGTTCGTCGATATCGGTGGTGGAGCACCGGTCTGACTGCTGATAGACAACTATGTACGAAGTACCTCCATTTTTTGTCGCCTCAGCAATATTTCGTGGTTTTTTCCTTTTCATGTGTAGCCACTGCCTACATGTCGATGGCAAGGGCGGGTCGGGGTGCATGTGTGGAAAGAACCTGGGTATGGATTGGTGGGACTGAGGTGTTCGCAAGACTGCAGCATTCAGCGACAGCAATTCACACGGGTTAGCAAAAGGATTAAGCCCCAACTAAATAGGCTTGTCAAAGCGAGTGGCCAATACGAATGGGCATCTCAATCCTACAGTACATGCGGCCGCGCTTTTTATTTCTTGTGCGCCACAACGCGTTATTCATCGGTAGTTCTGGCGAAAGAAAGCTTGAGTGAGGCAGGCCGATCCCCTCACCGCGACAAGAAGAAGACCTTGACCGTCAAGATGCCCAGCAGGCACATGATCACGGGCATTGCCCAGCTCCCTGTTGCACACCCAACACGTAGAAAGAACAGACGCGTAGAGGGCGATTGAGAGAGGGCGATTGAGAGAGAGAGAGAGAGAGAGAGAGAGAGAGAGAGAGAGAGAGAGAGAGAGAGAGAGAGGTAAACGGGGGCAACGACATCGACAGAGCGAGGGAGTACGATCGGTTGTACATAGCAAGGGGAGCTTTTGAAACTTGGTATGAGTGTGGAGCTACCTACGTTGCTGTCGCGGGGTATGCAGCAACAACTCAGAAGCTGCGCCTGCATGCATACTATCGGGGATTTCCTGTGAACAACGGTGGTCGACAGCCCTACAAAGGAATTCCACCTAATACCGTAGTTGTGTGTGTTATGGCACCGGGTGTCGTGTTTGAACTCCTTCCCTTCTAGGCTTTTTATCGCACCCCGGTGCCATAACACCGATACCCGTGCAGAAACGCAATTAAATAATTTCGTTCTAGAATCCCAACGCACTCCCGGTGCCATGACACTGGTGGGTGCGATACGGAACATGCTACGGTGCTAAGTGCAGGCTCCCCGCTGCGATGACGTCGAAGGGTGCGATACCGAAGAAACGACCACAGGCGCTCCATGGTACAAGTAGGGCCGCTTTGCGGCACAGGATCCGGGGTATGCATGTACTAAAAGACAATGCGGCTTCCTGCTGGGAATAAATATATGGTACGGTATCTGCTTGTCTTCCGGCCTCTTTGTTGGTCGCAAGCCTCATTCGCTGGCTGGTGCTTTCCTCTGTCTTTGTCTTCCTCAAGGGGCACGGTACCGGTACCATTGATGAGTTCCGTTTTCGATGGGTGGGTTGGAAGTGCTGGATGCGTGCTGTGTGTTTCCGTGTTTTCTTGGTTGAGTGCATTCGAGATATGCACCGATTACCGCGAAAAGAACTTGACTCATTTCTACGCGTACACCTCGACGGTACGATGTGTATGATGAAAGGATTGGCGCCCCGATTGATACCCACCGGCACCCCACAGCCGTTCGATATATGCAGTTCAAGCGGAAGCGAGGTTTTTATAATCGGGTGCGATAACACCGATACCAATTCGGAAATGCAATAAAATAATGTACCCTTGCGTTTTTTGCGCACCCCGGTGCCATTACCCCGATGGGTGCAAAGTCACCGATGGGTTCCGTAACACGCGCATTTTACCGTAGTACCGCTGCAATACATATCGCAAGTTTTGAGGCGCGAGCACGTGGCGTAGACACCACGCCGCTTGAACGAAATAACAAGGTGGCCACCCATGATTGTGGGCAAGCGCTGCACGAACGGAATGAACGACCGACGGCGGGCGTCCCTGTAGGCTTGTGCTCCAAGCAGCACCCCAAGACATGGCATGAGGCGGCATTGCGATAAGCTTCTGCTTAAAAGTGCCGGCCAAGGGCTGAGTTGCTTACAGAAGGTGTACGAAACTAATCGATGAACAGCCAGTAATTGGCAAATACAACTCGCGAAATAGAGTGCCCCCCTGCTAAATGCCAAACGAAGTCCGGAAGAAACGCAGCAACTCATGTGTATCAAGGTAGTACTACTGCTGTACACAGCCATCACAGCCAAGGCCAGGAGATTACCCCGCAAGAACAAAGACAAGTAACAGATATTTTACCGCAGGACAACCAAGGGCGGTTCTCGAACGCCCTTGTGGTATGTACAATACAGCAATACCCAAGGTGAGATCGACTGAACAAAGCCACAACCTCGAGCTACTCGGCACCTGATGACCCTGATCCACAGGGTAGCGGGGGAAGCGGGTGCACTACTGCTCCTGTGAGACTACAATGCGATGTTTACCGACCCAGTACCAGTACACCATCAGACCTACCTGAGGTTGGGGTATTTTCGATGCTCTGAGGTCTGAGGTCTGGCTCCAGAACCCAAATCAACCTTCATGACATGTGCACAATACGCATGGTACGTACAAGCGAACAAGTTCTTGGTTTACATGCCAATTATCCTCTCACGGCGTACTCACTTGTTGAGATGACATGCGCACTGCGAGGAGTCATCTCGAGCAACCGATGTCGACGTTTCCTGCGGGGTGGTGAGGACGAAAGAAGACGAGGAAGAGTCCGGCGCCTTGGTGCTGCAGCCGAAGCAGCCGGCTCGTTACCGGCACCACCAACCGCCTGTCGCGAGCTTGTCTTCCACTCCGTTTTCCTGTTTAGCATACAGCCATGCAGCAATCAATGCGTTGCCCGAGCAGAGACACCGAAAAAACACACCCGAGCCACACACACGAGAGCAGAGAGAGAGAGACAGGCGAGAAGACAGCAAGTGAGAGGGCGGCGAAACTTGAAAAACGCGGCGAGATTTTTTTTCCGTTTCACAAAAATGGCACCTGTTTTTTAGACGAAACACCTCGCTTGTCGTGTGCTTTGTGTGGTGGCAGCAAGTCCAGCAGATGGCAACAAAAAGCGTGAATCCCTCTCGTGTATGTGACCAACTCGCGTTTCGGCTACTCGTGGCTTTCCTGTTTTGAGGTGGCAACAGGTGGTCATCTTGTGTACGCAGCGGCGTATATAGGTGTGGTTGTTACCCATTGATACTCGAAAAATAATCTTAACCAACGACAGCCACCGGACACACTTTCTGCGTTCAGTAGCCTATGTAGACATATTGCTGCACGCACACAGTATCCAGCATCTGCCACTCAGTCCTAATTATGTAGGCTATTTGTAACAACGCAGGACGTCTTGAGCGGGTACAGTAGACTACGCGCTATGGGGACGAAATATATGCAGTTCCACATATGCGACTCTCGAACATACAAAAAGGCACTTGCAGAATGGCTGCACCGTGCTTTGTAAATTGTCCCGCTCGCGCGGCCTGATCTAGTGATTTCTCGACGTCCCTCTTCTGTCACATTTTGTGCAGTGACCGCGCAGTCGTTGCGGCTTCCACGCGGTTGAGTGGCACTGCGGTATAAAGGTAAGATGCGTCGATTGCTTATTCTGAGAGAATCGCTAAACCCGCTTTCTCGTTGACCGAGGAGGGGTCATCACCGCTAAAACTTATCGCTCCGCTCACGCCTTGCTCTGCTGCTGCTGCTGCTGCTGCTGTTGCTGCATCAGCTGCTGCCGCCAGGGGGGGGCGGTTGCTTTTACGCTAAGGGGAAAGTGGACCATGGCGGCCGAAGGGTATCCGGAAAGCACGTATAGCGATTGCGAGTTTGAGTTGTCTGTGTCCGCGTCGTCGGTGCTTGGCGTAGATGACGACACAAGACCCGACACAAGGGCGAGTCATGATGGAGAGGAGCAAACACAACAACAACCACAACAACAACAACAGCAACAAGAGGAGGATACTCAAGAACAAAGCGTGGGACAAACTGCCGAGAGAAAACACACAGGAGGTGTAGAACCGGCAGTGGCATCAGACGAGACGGTGGAGACAGGCGATGCTGCTGAATCGGGAGCGGGATATTCTTCTTTCGGAGCTCCATCTGAGAGCCTCGAAGAAGCCTCGCTTCCCATTATAACCGCGACGTTTACGGCTGGAGAGCAAGACGGCAGAACCACGAAGCAGGCATGTAAAAAGTATGCGGTAGGTTTCATGTGTAGCTCTGTTGGCGTAAAATGCTGTCACAAACTAAGCATGTAATCGAGGGTTGTTGCTGCAGCACTGTTCGAGGAGACACTTGGGCATGGATGTGCGGCACCGTGGGACATAGAATAGTGTGGAGTGTGCAAAGTTCGCGCCGTGCAATACGTATAGAGAGGTTAGCTAACAAATCATTCGGTCATCTGTAGTCGGCTACAGTAGGACTCAAGCGCTCATCGCAGTAGTCGGAAGTCGCAGCTGTCATTCGGTGATGTACATATATGCGTACCGTACGTCAGTTGCCGGTTTCTGCTCCCCACCTGATGCACGATGAACATTTGCACGCAGAAGTACTTGGACCTCCGGAAAAAGGCAGCGACAGTTTGGGAGGAAGCTGATGCCCTCGCACAACAAAGGTACAAGCAAATCGCAGATGTTGTTGGCCGTCCTCGTGTTACATGATCCAACTTGAGGAGGGTCGCTTGGAGTCACCGGCGACTTTTCGTTCACAAAATACAGAGACGGGGTGTGCGTACAGGTGATCTACACATGCAAGTACGACAGCCAACGTTGTTTTCGCCCGCACGACAAGTTCAAAGGACCTTCTCAGGTCACCCACCTATGAATCACCGTATGTCCACGCGTCCACGGCGTCAGGTTTTACACGGCCGTTCCGTTGGCCCGATCGTTCTTGTGCCGTCGGCAGATACGCAGAGGACTTGCAACAAAGGCTGCAGGCCCAACAGACGAAAGAATCGTGGCACGAACGCATTCACCGTCGCGATACAGAGCTAGAGTGGCACAGGAAAGTGTCGCAGAAAACCGCCCAATCTGTCATCGACATGGCTCTCCATAGGTAAGCAATTACGTGCTCGTAGCGGCGATGAGAAGAGTCGCCTATACCGTGGCAATGGGCCCGGGAAATCAGGCTTCCACCCCACGGCGACTATAAACGCAGAAGATCACGAATTCACGTCGAAATACGTTGCACCAATGCCTGGGCGTTTCTTTTGTGCTTTGGAATCTGCACTGCCAGATCTCCACTTGAGGATATGTAGTAACCTCGTGTTTCATGGTATAGGTATCTGCATGTACGTATGTTATGTTCTGTGTTTCTTCGTGTCAGATATGTGAAGAGCTCCCCCCAAAGGGTTTGCTTCGTCATCGTCATTTGACTGTTTGTAACAGCAGCGAATTACGTGATCGATGGCTCAGCTTATCGTGAGACACACACCGTCGATTTGATAACTTGCCCTGTTTCCACGGTGTATCCCAACATCAGAGCCCCCCCCCCCCTGTCGCCACTCCTTTCGTCCCTTTCTCACTTCCACAATATCCACCCCGAACACCCCTCCGTCCGAATACGTACGTACATGCGCACCCACGGGCATCTACCTAGGGAAGCGTGGACGAAGGGTGTCATGTGCGCTAGAGCCAGGGAAACCGCGATAGAAGCAGCGTTTTCCTCGGCATTTAGCTCCTTGCAAGCCCGCAGATCGGAGCAGAAAGCAGCCGCCGCCTGCGCGGAGGGCGAGAGGGCCGAGTTGAGAGCCTCGGTTTGCTCGACGGTGTGGAGCGCCGCGAGGTATGGCGTGCCAGTGCGAACGCTACGCGAGATGATGAGCGAGAAAATGTTTCAGTCAAGGTGAGCGCCTGCCCTGCCGTTTATCGACAAGTCAGTCCCTCATACAGAACCGAAACCCTTGCAAAGCCGGATTGCTAGTATTGATTAAGAGTCAAGAACCTTTCTGACCTCTCCCGTGTGATACCAGCATCCATACTGGTTCGTCAAGATGTAGAGAAACGAAGCTCTGAAGATGGAGAGAACGAAATTCCGTCCCATTCTACTGCGATACCAGTTTGAGATGCACGCTATGAGCTTGGTAGGATTGTTGTATTGTCGTACGGCACAGCAAATGAGGCCCTCATGCCGCATTTCCGGCTGTAGCGTTCCTCAACGTTCCCAAAAACACAAACATCGCCGCTGTCAATATGTCGTTGCGTTTGTGCTTTGACTCGTATCCACTTTCTTGGGGTACTCTCGAACGTCACACTCGTTGTTGATGTCCCTCTTGACCGGGTCAACAATGCATCAGGTGTGTTTCAACGCGCCGCGTTCAGGAGAAACCGATCCATGCGAGTGAGCATCGATCGGTTATGTACTACATATTTTTAAGATGCTCCTCCGCCCTACTCAACGATAGCTTCCTGTCATTTTTCATTTGCGTACGGCCGACAAAAACGTCTTGAACGACCACCACACCGCAGAATAATGAGACCGCTGCTGTGCTGCTATCGTAGATTTCCAGTTGATTCCGGCACAACGTTAAAAACGCATGCTCGTGTTCACACCACATGGTTGTATGCCCACCGCAGGAACTTCGATCCATCGGAGCCCTTCGACCAGCTCTGCCGGCGTGTGGAAGGGGTCGTGGTGGAGAGCAGACATCCTTACCCAAAGGTGATGAAGAGCGCATCATCCAGCTTTCCGTGGCCCACCGACCTCAAGTATTCGTACGAAATTTCGAAAGGAAGGGTTTTCGCACATCTATCTGCTCACGCTCGCGCAGTGTTGTTGTTGTTCCCATTGGTATTATGGGACGCGCGCATGCGCTCGCCAACTAACCACCCTCACGACGAAATTGGTTATGTTCTCGATCCGGGCTTATCTTGATTGCATGCTTGCATGCCTGCGTCGAAGCGGTACAGCACAGGATTGCGGGAGAGAGAAAAAAACTCACTCAGTTGGTGTTCCTGTGCGTTCTCGAAACATTGTTGCACAGGAAAGACTACATGTGTCTCGCGCACGGAAATCAGGTCATGAAAACGGCAATGAAGCCCATTTTTCAACATTTCTCACGCACCACGATGTTTCTTTGATGGACAAGTGCCGTTGTGTGGTGCCTCGCCCCCCTCATCACACACACATCACCGCCCTCTTGTGGAATTTACGTTTTTCGCGCAGGGAGTGAGGCAGGATATTGAGGCTTACGTGGCAAACGCGGACTCTTTCTATGTGGCTTTCGATGCGGCGTCTAACGCGACCATAGGCATGGGGAAGGTGGCCTTGCAGGAGTTCAACGCTAGGGATCCAAAGCTTTTCTTCCCCAGGTGATGCGAGAATGCGCCACTGGTCGTCATTTTGGGGCGTTTTGCGGAAGTGTGCCTCAGAGCGTATCGGTTTCGGGATGCGGTGGTGCTAATCCTTGGTGAAGCTCACACATGGTGCATTTTCCTTCTTATTGAAAAGAACCTATTACGTAGAGTCGGCAAGTTTACACCGGAAATAGACTAACCGGTTGTGTGTGTATCCCACGACAAATCTACCGCACAGAGTAAAATAGAGCATGCAGCAGACTCGGTTGATTTACACCATGCACACATTAAGAGGTGGGTGTTTTCAATGATGAAATACACACTTCCTGACACCCATGCTTTCCCTTATCTACGTACTGTCTTTGCGGGGGCGGTGACCTCTTTTTGTTCTCGCAGGGGACCCTACAACGTCGACACCTCCGGCGAAGCCCGCCTTCCCGGTGTCGACGGAGAGCGGCCGATGCGGGTGCAAGGATCCTCCGTGCTCGTGACGTTTTCCGCCTCGTACTGGACGGGGGTCGCCCCCGCGGGAGAAGACTACGGCTGGCGGCTCGTGTGCTTCACGGCCGACGACGATGACCATGCGAAAGCCTTGGTCTCCGAGGCAGAGCGGGCGGCGGATCGCGCGGAGGCGGTGGATGCGGTCAACACCCACGGGTGAGCATCAGCCACAAGACCGGACAGTTCGTAGCAAGCAACATCGCAGAGTTGCGGCAGGTTTGGTGACGTAGACTGTGTTTCCGGTGGATGGAGTCAACATGCGCTGCGAAGCTTTTCGGTTGTGAGAGGCGCCGCGTAGTACACCCCCTGAAGCGATAATACACCAACCATCCTACGACACCATCGTTCACGTCAGCCCTCATTGCGCTCTATGCACCCGGTGGCCAACCTGCTTGGTTGGTTCGGACATGAAATTGTTTTTTTTTGCCTCGACTCTTCTCTCCTTCCTTCCGCGCGAACAGGGAGACCTGCCTACACGTGGCATCCTTCGAGGGCAACGTTCCCGCCGTGAGATACCTCCTCTCCGTCGACGCCGACCCCAACAGCGCACACAGTGCCAGCGGCTACAACACCCCCCTCCACGAGGCAGCAAGGGGCGGGTCCCTCGCGGTGACCCGTCTGCTCCTCAAGTCCTCGGCAAACGTCCTCGCGGTCAACTCGCACGGAGACCACCCCTTGCACGTGGCCTGCCGAGAGGGCCGCCTCGACATCGCTCGAAGGCTCCTCGCGCACGACTCCGACTGGGCCACCGTCGCCGCTCGCAACCACGCAGGCCTCCGGCCAGTCGAGGTCGTGCCCGCCTGCTCTGCGCTCATCGCGCTCCTCAAAGAGGTAGAGGTTAGAGCCGCGAACGCTTCCATGGCTCAAGCCGCCCTCGCCGCCAATGCGACACCGTCCGGGTTGCAAGCAGACCCTTGTTTCCACCAGCGTAACAACAAGAACGGGGGAGGGAAGCCGGTCTCCGCGGCGGGTGTTGGTAGATGTGGTGGGCGTGGGGGTGTCCTTCGGCGCCAAGCACGGGGAGGAGGGAGAAGGAACAAGTCCGGCTTAGGGAGGTTGTCGTCATCATCAGACGGCGCTTTGGCGAAGGCAATGCTCTCGGGGAGCATTCTGCCGCGGTGGGCGCGTTTGGCGCGGCCATTCGAAGACGAACTTCACCGACAACAACGGTCTCTCAAAGACCGCGGCTGCCCCCAAGGGCCACAGAGAAGAGGCGTTGAAGAGGTAGGGTCGGGAGGAGTGACCGACAACGCGGGATCTGTCGCATCGGAAGGGAGCGATGCTCAATCGGTCGCGGGTTGGTCGGGCACGTCGTATGGGGCCAGCCTAGCCGAGTCTGATTTCGCGATACCGCCTGCGGAGGTGGTCGTCGCTGGTAGGGGTAGTAGTAGTGGCGGCGGTGGACTTGCTTGCGGCAAGCATAGAGAGCGGTAGCTCGTAAGAACACCGGAATAGACTGAGCGCAGAAGTTCACCTGACCGGATGCTGGTGTGAGACGGGCAACAGACGCGTACTCGATTGCACTCGGAAACAAGAGCCTCGGTGGCCCATAACTTAAGCACACGCGGTTCGCTCTTGAACGTATAGACTGTAGAACGCAGAGCGTACATGTACATCGTCTTATCCGTTATCAAAACGCACGCTATTGATGACGCCCCCTCTCGTCGCGAGTGTGCCTCGAAGAGGGTATCGTGCCCACCCGAGCAGTTGATCCTTGCCGCGTAGACGTGCCGAATCGGGCGTGTAGACTAGACGGGCAGAATAGAACTTGAAATACCTCGGTGTTCTGCTTGTTCACACTTTCCAACAACCCGACACACTGCAAAGTCGTCTCCAGGTTGTACACAGCAAAAAATCACCAACTGAAGGAACACAACAAAATGGAGCATGGCTTGAACGCAAACGCTTGCAAAAAAACATTCTTCTCTCTGCGCATACAGCCTTGTCTGTCGTTGGAGAAGATTAGCAACCAGAACACGCCGCCTGTCATGGGCGTCGATGCTAATTTGTACATGTGACATTAAGCGGCGCACGTGCCAACACATTGATCGATCCAGTATGACTGGGAAACCGTGAGAGCGGCAGACAACACATGTTTAGTAATCGGCCTGCCGCAGGACAAAAAAAAAAAAAACGGCCCAAAAACCTACTTGCCACATGACGATCACCGCCAAAACAACCCATGCCCATGCGAATCGGTCCGTGTTCACTCACAAGTCGTCTCATGGTTTGAGGCTACACATGAAAAAAAAAAAAACACGTTCGTGACTGAAATTGTACAAATCGTCGTGCGCGTCTATAATGAATTTACGTACACTGTGTGGTCGAGCATGCACTCGCATGTCGTACCATCGGGATCTCCACGAATCAAACACACAAGACACGACGAGACGGACGCATGAAAAATCGACGATCTATTCGAGGAAACACCCAGAAGCGTTCGGAGACGGCTGCCACAACAAGTAAGCTTACTTCCCAGTTCTCCTGCCTGCACCCTGCGAGTCAAAAACTTCCTCGGGACGGAAGACCAGAAATATTGGCATTTGTACATGACGTGCCACTATTGTTGAAATACACTAAAAAAAAAAAAAAAGGTGGAGACGCCATCCAAAAACAACGAAACAGAATAAAAAAGAAGACATCAGAACATCCATCAGGCATGATTTAGACGGGAATCCAACCACTCCGCGTTGCATAACGTACACACTCAGTCGGTCAACGCCAAAAACGTGGTGTCACCCCCACTACATTCGGTGGCAGCATTTTTTCTACCAATACTTAGAAAGGAGACAAGATACACCAAAAATCAACATCCCCATTCCTTGAGTAAATCAGCAAAAAATAAGGGCGGGGGGGGCGGGGTTTGGGGGTCCTTCACCTCTTGGCCACGTTGGATCCAGGCACTGTCTTAAAGAGACTGTAATTCTCAGCAGCAGCCCTCCCACCCAGCTCGCACCTACGTGTTCTAGAAGCTACGTCATTTCTATCAATTGACGACCGCAGCTCAATCCTTCCATGGCGGCGTCGACGAGAGAGTGGACCGACCGAACGAGTTCATGATCTGCGCCTGCATGACCTCATGTTGCTTGCCCTGCCCTCCACCTCCAGACACGCTACTACCGCTGCTGCTTCCGTTTCCAACGACACCAGTACTACTACCACCCCCCGGCTGCCCATGCAACTGCTGCTGCTGCTGCTGCTGCTGTTGTTGCTGGCCTTGCGCGTGGCTGGTTTGGGTGCGTGGCATGACCCCACCCCCGCCGCCGCCACCGCTAGAACTACCACTCACGCCGCTGCTGCTGATGTGTCCCACGTACTGCGCGGCTGAAGAGGCTCTCCGGACAGGCGGGGCTGGCTCGAGAGAGGGAGACACCCCACGCATGCCACCCCCGCCGCCGCTACTCCCGGCCTGCTGACCTCCGTTAGTCACCCCGCCCGCCCCTCCCGCGGAGCCCCCAGAGCCGCCGCTGCCACCACCACCACCACCACCACCACCACTACCACCACCAGAACCACCGGCGCCGCCCTTGCCGCCATTGCTGCCAACGATACCGATTGGATCGCTTATCCCGTTTCCGTACAACAACGTTCCGGAGGCCGAGCGGCGGTGATGTGTACCCTATGCCAGCGTTGAGTTCCAAGATATAACAAAGACGCGGAGACGCGGCCGTGAACGGAGCGGTTGCACTTTCGGGCATGTATCGCAAAATCAGGGAAGATCGACGCACGCGGTTCTCCCGACCGATCGTGCACCGTCTCGAACTGTTCGTTCATGCAGCGGCAGCGGGTGCAACACGGGCATTTTCGATACGGTCGCCTCGAAAACGCAAACCGGGCCGCACGGGAACGACCCCACAGGGGAGGGGTGCGCGAGGGAGGGGGGGGGGGGGGAA